CCCACCCATGTCTTCCTATGCAGGTTCAACTTCCACATACTCAGGTCCACTATCAAATTCAGTCCCAATGTCTATTCCCGTCATATACACACGCACATATGCTTTGCTTTTTAATTTTTTTCTCATATTCTTTTAAGTACAGTATGTGTTTATGTGTGTCTGTCTTTTTGTTTTTGCCTCTCTTTTTTGCCTGAATGCTTTCTTTAACCAATAAAAAAGAAACTACAAAAAAACCATTGAAATTCAATGGATTTTTAGATCACATCCTTTTCAACAAGAAACAATATTTCAGAAATGATCATATTGCTTTTATGTTGTCAGAGATGCAGTAAAACTAAATTTAAATATATTGTTCCATTTTAGTAGGAAGCAATACATATATTAACTCAACCTGAGGTTTGTCTCAATCACATGGGAGTTGACTTTTGGACAGAGAAAAGAAACACATAATAAAAAAAAACCCTATTGTTCATCATTGGAAAAAACAAACATATGGCTCCAACTATTTAGCAGTTTGCAGAATTGATTAATGTAGACCAACCGTGGATGACTGCAATGAATCATGGCTTCAATTTATCAATATATTGTAATGGACTGTGAGAATAACCTTGAGGAACAAGAGGAAAAACAGCAAAGCAGGAATGGAAAATGAGAAAATGTCTCCAGCTTGACCCTCCCTAGTTCTCTTTAGGCTAAAGGCAGGGAGGGGAGAGGCACATTCAGCGTTGCAAGATTCGGTTACTGTAAGCCTATAATAATAGTTGTTTTAGTATTCATAACCTTGGTGTTCAAGGCTAGTCTACCTCAAAGAGCTGACATAGATGTATGTCTGTAAATACACATCTTATATGTTTTTGTTTCCTTTTTTCAGTTTTTTCTTCTTTTATAATTCTGTGTATTCTTTTTTCCCTTAGTTTTTTGTATTTAGTTCTTAAAAAAAATTAAAAGACTGACTGGAAGGCACAACATTATTATTAGTACTAGTATTAGTGAGAAGGCCTGCCCTCAAGGGTCATGTAGGAGCATGTGGAGAGGGCCTTTATAATGACATCTGCCATCTTTATTCTTTTTTGGTTTTTTACTTTTTGTTGCCTTGTTTTAAATGTTTTCAACAATTTGTAAACTGCCCAGAGTCACTGGGAATCGGGCAGCATATACATTTAATAGATGATGATGATAATGACAACTGTGGGGTTATATAGGAGAGATATAGATATATAGATATAGATATAGATATATAGGTACAGATACAGATAAATGATAGATAGATAGATAGATAGATAGATAGATAGATAGATAGATAGATAGATATCCTTTCAGCTTGTAGACTCTCATGAACAATTGATACCACCTTTTTGAAGTGGGCCCAGGAATAAGCTGGGAACTGGTAAAAATATTGTCTCAATGATGTCATATGATACCATTCAGTTCTAGTCACTACTCTGCTATTCAGCTGCCACTCAAGCTTCCCAACCATCTTCAGGTACAAAATAGTGTGGTAAACTAAGGTTACCAAGGTATGTGCTGCATCAAATGACTGAGGTAAATTTATTAGTAGCATCCAGATTGGACTCTTCAGGAGAAGAAACATGTTCCAGAAGAGATTGACCAGTGCTAATCTTGACAGGCAAACCTCAACTAATAGACCTTCTGCCATGCCTGGACTGAGCTCCAGTTTATCAGACCACAACCAATCTGATACTGCAGCCAGGCCCCAAATAAATACTTCCAATGTTTTCCTGGATTTGATGGAAAAGAGGCAAGAGTGCTGTGTTTTCAGCATCCCAACTGGGCTGAACTTGAAATAGCTGTACGCCTTCATGCAGTTATTTCATGCAAGGGCCAAGAAAAAACTATGCAGAAAACCACAAGGGAAATCTTGGATTCCAAGTGTAATGCTCGGGGGCACTGACATGCCCAGAACGTCTCCCTTGGTGCCTGCCAAGCTCCATGTCCCATCAGATTTTACCTAAGTTTTGAATATTATTTTTGATTATATGCAATAAATGGGAAGCAATTGTGTTGAAGAATAAAGTTCCAGTCTTCAGCATGATATTTATTTCTAATAGTGGATCTACCTAGACCCCAGACATTTTCTCAGAAATGAAAGCAACAGGAAACAACTGCCCAGTGGTTTTTTTTGTTTTTTTAAATAATAATTTTATTAGGTATTACAATCCTACAGATAAAAAACTAATACAAACTACAAAAAAATAAAAATAGAAATAAAAAACAAAAAGTGTAGGAAAAAAGAAATATAGAAAAAGAAAAATAGAGTCGCTTTTTAACAAGATGGATGGTGACAAATTTGATATATAAATAAATATATAAATATAAAGAAAAGAAATATATAAGAAAGTAACTTCCTCCTTTGTCACAAGGGTAAACAATGTAACATTTTATTACCTTTTCTTAAAATAGAACAAGGATCACTTCATCCCATATCTCATCTCTTATCTTACTTAAATATTTAAAACCTCATTCAATCCTAATCAGCAAAAGTCAATTAAGGTTGCCAGAAATAGCAATATATCTATTTTAAACTTAATCCAATAAACCCACTTTATATTCCTTCCTTTTTCTTTTATATCTCATCTTTTATCTTTGAAACCTCATCATTCAATCCTAATCAGTAAAATTCTATTAAAGCTTACCAGAAATACCAACATAATTATTTTAACCTTGATCAAATCAACTTAAAATATAACAAATGATCTCTTCTTCCCATATCTCCTCTTATCTATAAACAAGACCTTAAAATCTCATCATTGAATCCTGGTCAGCAACAGTCCATTAATGGTTACCAGAGATATCAACATAGCTATTTTAACCATGTTCAAATAAACCAGCTTTATATTCCTTCCCTTTACTTTTAACAATCTTGGTCCTTAATTCCTTCAAATACTGTCCTAGAACTTGATTTCTTTTCAAATTTTTTCTTTATCTCTTCTCACAAAACCCTTCAGAACTTTAACAGGTCTCTTTTGTAAATCCAATATAAGAAAGTTATTCAAATCACTTTTCTCGTTTATTATTTGTATGTCTCTTTCACTTATTAAAACATCAGCCAGTTTCATTTGTATATCCAGTATTTCATCTTTTTTCATATCATTCTTGTAACCTGTCATTTTTGAATCTACATTTAAATCAACTTCAGTCTTGTCTGTTAGAAATTGTTCCTCTTCCATTACATAATTTACACACAGTCTATCTATAATGGCAGACATTCTGAAAATTAACTTCTGAGTCCATAGTTCACAAATATCTTTCAATG